TAAGTGGGTGATGCTTAGGGGTCTAGAGTGTCGAGCTGAGCTCGAGCTTTTGACAACCTGGAGCTCAGCTCGGCTTGTGAATTTAACAAGCTTATAATTGGACTCGAGCTCAACTCGTTTATTAACAATAACGAGGCAAACTTAAATCTTAACGAACTGAACTCGAACTTTTACGAGTTGAATTGTAGAAAATTATACAAATAATCATCTTTTTGACCCTTAACAAGCCAAGCCGAACTCACAAGCTGCTAGCAGCTTTAGGACTCACTATACAATCATAATGGTTAACATAAACTTTAAAATAAATATAATCGTTAAAATAAACTTTAACCGGCGATTCTAACCCGAAACCGGACTCCAAATAGGTTTTGGCCATGTTTACCCAGAGCCGGAGGCTCAATGCTCGATCGATTACCATGTGGAGTTTCAAAACAATGAATTATCTACATTTTTTACCTTTATTTATGTTAGCTTGAAGAACTTTGGGCCTTGGTCCTTATAACTACAAAATCTCCCAAGGCCCAAAAACCTCTGTTCCACCTTCTCCAACTCGTCGCTTTGTCCCGCCCCAACCGAGTTTCCAACTGAACTTTTTTTATTCCGGCAACCTTCGCCTTCAATTAATCTCACCGCCGTGGGGAACGGCAGTCGGGCTGTGGCGGCACCGGAAAAAGGGCAGTGCTTATTCCCCCTATTAATCCCCCGTTATTTTTTCTTTTCCGGCCGTTCCTAATTATTCGTAGCAAAGACTGTTCAATTACTCCCGGAAAATGGTGTCCGTACTAACACAAAGATCGCCGCACGAAGCAGAAAACCCATTCGAGGCCAATCTGCGGGAATCCTTCTGTTCTATCGAACCCAACCTCAGACCCCCTTTTCCCCTAACCATCCCAACTCCCGACCAGTACTCGAATCTCAACAGAGCAATCCTTTACGGCATTTTAACCGAGCCCAGTTTCTTCAAAGTCCACATCAAGCACCTGCACGGCATCGTCACCGACGGCTACGAGTATTTCACCTGTTTGCTCGTCAGGCTCGTCACCAAATCCTACGACAAGCTCGTGGGCCCCGCCAGGAGGCAGCTTGTCCTGGCGGCCCACGAGATGGTGCGCGTCTCGGCCGTGGGGCTCGACTGCTTGCTGGTGGTCCTCTTGAGGCAGATTTACGGTGGGGACTTCACCGAGGAGAATTTGTGGCTGTGTCTGGAGATGCTCCGTCTTCTCTCCGGCGACCGCGCCCTTCTGCTGGAGGAGCAGCCATCGGTCTTAACTGGCGCTCTGTACGTGTTCTTGAGGTTGCTGGCAGATCATTGCAGGGCCTCTGGCGTGCCAAAGATCGAGTCTTTAAGGAAAATGGAGATTGAGTTTTGTGTAAAAATGCTGAGGGAGAATTTCTCATTGTGTTTAACTATTGGGAAAGATCTCGTTAGACTACTGCAGGATTTGGTTCATGTGCCCGATTTTTGCGCTTTTTGGAGAGACCTATTGTACAACCCGAGCTCCTTTGGAGTTGATCGGTTTTCTGATATATCGATGATTTATAGTACTCAAACTCCTAAATGGTACTTTTTGCTTAGAATAACTCCTGAAATGGAGTCTCGGTTGAGATTCTTGATGACCCGTGTGAAGTTCGGGAGCCAGAAGAGATACCAAATCTGGTTCGCGAAGAAATTTCTTGCCGGGCCCGAAAAAAACTCGGTCATAATCGACATTGTCAGATTCATATGCTGTGCTCACCATCCATCTAACGATATTATCCATTCGGATATTATCCCCAGATGGGCTCTCCTAGGTTGGTTGCTTAAGTCGAGTATGAAAAATTACATCGAGGCAAATTCGAAACTTGCGTTGTTTTACGATTGGCTGTTCTTTGATGAGAAAGTGGAAAGTACTATCATGAATGTGGAGCCAGCAATTTTGTTGATGGTGCACTCTTTGCCTAAATACGCTGACATCACGAATTCGCTTCTCGAGTTTCTGTTCATACTGTTGGATGGGTATGATCTCGAGAGGAAGGAGCTTGTGGCTCGGGGGATATGTGGGGCCTTTCGTGCGCTTTTGAGGAAAGGTGTGGTTCAATCGTACGATGTTTTGATCAGTTGTGATATGGTTTCGTCTGATCTCAAGGAGAGACTCGTGAAGTTGCTCTCGGACTGTTGAGGTTGAAATTTTGCTTTCAAGAGCATTTTTGTAGTGCGCTATATAGCGCAAAATTGTACTAATTCGCAATGTAATTTTTTGAAGTTTTGCACTTTGTTCGAAGAGCTTTCGCGCTGAAATGCTGAACGTCGCGTAATTTTGTGTTTTGCGCTAGAATGTCTATTTTACTCACCAATTCAAATGTAATTCTCATGAAATATAGTATACCATACATACTGTAAGAAAGAATGAAAAACATATAATAACAAAAACATATCATAAATACTGTTACATTTATTAAAACACAATCATATCATTTACAAACACAGAGACTTATGATCTGCTTTAGACAGAAAAAACCCATGTTCCTGTCTGATTGGTCAACATACCAAAGCTTATTGCCACAATTTTATTTACATACTTATGGCTAATATTCACCTGCTGGAGAGTACACAATAACCCGTACATATGTTGTACGGATTCATAACTTATTCCAAGAAAAAAAATGCACACAAGGTAAATTCCACACTTGCTGCATTTTTTTTTCTCAGGTCAGTCTTCTAGTATTTGATTATCATCATAGTTACATTTCTTTATATTTATTTTATTTTTTATATATATATATGTACGCGCGAGCAAGTCTCTTTCTTCAAAGCTCCTTCGAGAAGTTCGAACCCCACGAATTCCAAAACACGTTATCCCAGTCAAACTGGTTCAAGCTGAAGTTATTCGGAATCAGAACATCTTCACCAGCAGCAGCATAGTCGAACGAGTTTTCTTCAATATTAACGACATTTTCATTCGAGAAAATCTCATTAGTCGAGTTGTTGCTGTTGTTTGGACAGGTAGTAACATCGACCCATATCCCCTGAACTCCCGTACTTTGGGAACCTTGCAATAAATCAGGCATCATCATTGTCGAACTTTCCATATTGATGTCGCTAGCAATTTCCACATTTTGGTCGTTATTCGGAGGGATTTGAGGTTGAGTGCCTCTTGCAAGTCGCGGAAAAATCCCGTATTTCTTTGGCCTGTTTTGGTTCGGATTAGCCGGTTTCGGAGCTTTTTGCCGGCGCCCATCCGATGGCTGCCACCCGTGTCGGCATTTCTGAAAAAAATAAAAAATAAACGGCAATTTTGTCGACAATGGACAAGATATATTATATAGTCCTCTGTTTTGGTGTATCAGCTAGCTTATAGCTTTTAAGTGAATTTTGAGCTTGTAGTTAATTGCTTATGACTTATGGCTGAAAAACTAACTTTTATGATACAAGTGTGTGATAAACTTAACTGATAAACTAGCTGAAATAAAAGTTTCGATGAACTTTATTTGAAAAACTACTCAAATAAGCTTATAAGATAAGCTTGAGCTTTTTAAAAAAGTCCGTCCTACAAAACTAAGCTTATTTGAATATATGAAGCTTATATAAGCTAATCAAATAAGCTATAAGCTAGCTTATATGCTTACTAAACACAGTCTAAATGAAATTACCTGCAGATGGCTAGCGACTTGCATTCTGGTTAGCCCCGGGACATTCATAAGCTCGAGTATGTCTTTCGGAAAACATCCTAGTTTTTTTCAGACAATGGAAGCCGACCGATCGATAAGTACAAACAAAACGTAAAAAATTCGAATCATCTAAACATAATACATGACAAATGTACTACATAAGAGCAAAGTTTTTAAGAAATTAAACATACTTCCATCACCAAGTATCTTCACAGCAGTAATGAACTTCTCATGAAGCTCCAAAGTCCACTCGGTGCACATCTTTGGCTTTATTCCCGAGCCCTGACCAGTTACCTTATTCATCGATGAGTTTTCGCCTTTATGAGTCGAAGTTTCAACTCTCGATTTTCCCTTTTCGTTATTTTTCCGAGCAGTAGTTTCCCTCAATAAATGCTGCCATAAGTACTTCAACTCGTCATGAGACGGCGGGTTTTGCATGAAAAGGAAAGCTCCGTCTTCTATGGCGCACTTTGCGAGGATCGGGTTAGCATTAATCGACATGACTTGATATATATGGGAAACAAAACATGCAAAAAAGGGACAATTAATTCAAAAAGGCAAAAAAAAAAAAATTAACGAATATGCATACGTTCGTTGGAAATTAAAGTCGAAAAGTCTTACCAATAACCGGCAAGTTCAAGCTGACGGCCTCATGCACGAGCTTAAAGCCGTCTAAGTTAGACGGTTCCACGTCAACCATCACGACATTGAACTTTGAGCTTCCTTGTGATAACATTGTTGAAGCAATGCAAGCATCGTGAACCGCCGTAACTATGGTAAAAAAAATGTTACCAAAAATAGAAATAAATTTATGAGTCGATGTTATCGTTTGTACGTACTTTGAGGTGAAATCGAAGGTCGAATTTACTTGCTTCATGAATAAGGTAAATATGATTAATGTTTTTTTTTTCAAAGTTTGCCTTGAGCTTTTCATAGCCAAGATTAGAATAAATGGAATTAGAAAGATGTTAATTAGATGGGTAAATATGATTATCATCATTAAGAAAGTTCATTATTGATTAGTGGACTCAATTAATGAAAAAGGCAGTAATATTCTTCTTTTTTGTTCATTCTTACAATTTTTTTCTATCAAAGAAGATAAGATGTTATAAAGATGTTGAAAATGCTACAAAGAGAAGTTCCAAAAAGAAAATATGTTTCATTATACCAATTAAAGTCTCCTTATTGAATTCATGAAAGATGGTAAAAGTATCAACAATATAAACTATAAACCAGCAGTAACTACTTTATATTTTACATAAGAGATATGATGAATAGACGGAGGTAAATTCAAACTGAAAAAACGCGCGAAATCGATGCTTAAAATTTTATTCATGCATGATTGACACGATGAACTTATTAACAAATTCATTCACTTCTCGTTTTTTTTTTCAACTTCGATGTGCAAATTTTTTCAAGGATCGACTTCCAAATGAATCATGAATCAGATAAACTATAGATAACTAATTATAAGGAAATATACCTATATCTCTTCTTTTATTAGATTTAGAATAAGCATGCTAAAAAATTTTATCATTGAGAAACAAACATATAGATAGAAACATATTTGGTTAATGATGAAAATGATGAGAAATAAGATTTATAATCAAAACAAGTCACAAGCAATCATGGGATCCAATAATTTTCATTTCATGATATCAAAATGAACCTAATATAATTAACTTAGACATTTTTTTAGTGAATCTTCATGCTAAAAATAGTTCGTACTTAAGATTTTATACCTTTATACGAGTTGAAGTGTAGCAATCTAGCGGTCTCACTAAGGCAATTCACGTCATGATCAACCAACAACACATGAACTTCAAACATGCTTGGGTCATAGAAAGCCATTGATGAGTTAACTCTCAAACTTCAGTAGAAGATCTTTCGAAGTGATTATAACGAAAACGAAAACTTATATTTTCAAAGGCATCGGCCGAAAATATATAGCTATGAAACTTGAGAAAAAGAGGTAATGAGGTGAATTCTTATCTAGATGTTATAGAGAGAAAGTTGGAGTGATGAAATGAACCACCAAAATTTGGTTAAGATAAAAGAGCTTTTGTGCTTTGATTTTTACATGACTACTCATCATCCTTTTTTTTTTTTTTTTTTTTT